CGTTCCAAAGTTCGTAGCCAATTGATTGAAGGTAAATCTTCATTCGACACTTTCAATAGTTGTAGTTCAAACCATCGAACATTGGTGGACGATTTGTAGAGTAATATTTTTTGAATTGTGAAGTATTTGTCGATGTTATTTTTCACCTTGCTCTGATACCAAATGTAGGATCTGAAATAGATACACTAAAAACTAGAGGGGGGAGGGTGAATGGTGTTCTATTAAAATTTATGCAAAGTAGATTATAAATTGTAAAAAAAAATGACAATCTCAGAAATTCACAAACAAAAACACAAAGTTTTATACTGGTTCCACCAATCCGGTGTACATCCAGTCCCCAAGCAAATCCCGCTTGAGAGTTTTCACTGTGATTTTGAATAAACTTACAAAATCAAAAGCAAACCTGACCAATTTGCAAGTCCCTGTAAATTGCAACACCAATTGACAAACACCTTGCCAATTTGCACACCAATCTCTGAACCAAGAGATTAACACCTCTCACAAACCGAGAGAACTTTTGAAGCAACAATTTCGATTCCTACAAGCCTTGATTTGTAGTGTAGTGTAGTAGTGGCTTAGGAATGATTCTAACTTCTGTAAATTGCCTAAACAATAAGTATTTGAATAATGTTCAAAGGCAATTTCAGAAACTTTTCTTTTTCTCAAAATCTGAATGTTTTTCACTTGAAAAAAATGCACAAAGATCAAAGCTTATGGGTATGTAAGTCTCTGTATTTTTTCTGAACAAATAACCTATTTATAGCCCTTGAAAAGATAATTATTTGAACTTTAAAACGTTTAAAAACGTCTATAAACAGTCATAAATTCAACTTTAAAATCTAAAAAAACTGTATCTGTAGTCGACTACAAGACAGAATAGTCAACTACACTGAGTTTAAACAGATTCTGTGAATTCAGAAAATTTCTCAGTAGTCGACTATAAAGTTCATTAGTCGACTATACTGTAATTAGACAGAAACTTAAAAAATGAATTTTGCCTTCAGTAGTCGACTATAATGTCAATTAGTCGATTATACTGTAAAATAACAGAAACTTATATTTCTGTCATAAGCTTAAGTAGTCGACTATTATCCAAATTAGTCGATTATACTGTAAATTGACAGAAACATATAATTAGGTCATATACATGAGTAGTCGACTACTATTCTAATTAGTCGACTACTAAGAGTAAAAAATGAGAATTAAATGTTTTTGATACTCAATAATTAACTATAACTCTAATGGTTAATATAGGGGATTTCTATAGTTAACCAACACACTAAGCCTGTGTTAGTGTGTTCTAATATTTATGTGTGTGTGTGTGAGTGATCAAGGCTTGTACAATAATTCTAAGTAAAGAAAATATAAAATACATTATCTCATATGTTCTTCATCTTCTTCACTTTATAATGTCTTGAACTCAACTTGCACTTGTTCATATTTTGATATTGAAATCTGCATATAAAAGTTAGTGCATTTGTATAACACACATTGTATAAATTGTTATCATCAAAATAATATCATGGAGATATGATATTCAACAGATAGGGCTAACATGTATAACCAAGGATGCATTAACAAGAGGTCTAGGGGAAATGGCGGATGGAAGAGGAGGAGAGGTGGAAGTTATGCATGGGATACTTTGATATCTTGGTTTGTGTGAGCAGATTTCCTTGTAATGATGATCCAATTTCTTCAGTTGTTGATTCAGATGTGTGGTGGGCAGATTGTTCACATCTGAGAAACCTGAAAACTCACTAAAATTGCTAGGATCGACCTCTGCACGTTTCACGATAATATCGATGCCCTCACGGCTCCTTGGCTCTTTTTTGTAATGTTGTTTTCATCCTATTATTTTAACAGTTGTCAGCATGGGTATGTATGTTTTGATCTTTCATTATTTTTAGCTACTGAACATAATCATAGGCATGTTAATCTTGATTTGTTTTATGAGACTAAAAGGTTGCATAGGACTTGTAAGTCAATGATCAAAGTTTGCAGGACTGCAATTCTGACTTGATAGCGAGTGGATTAACCAGACGTCAAAAACAAAACAAAACAATAACTTAGTTGAGAGTGTCAGTTAGGCTTGCTGTATTAAAAATATCATTGTCATCATAACCATCAACAACCTCTAATTCTTTCGCCAATCACCATCAAAACTATATCGCGACAAGTCAAAAATGATGATGATGATGGTGGTAATAATAGTTATAATAGTAAAGAAATGCTAATTCTTATGGTAGATTATTCTCAATCTTATACTAGATGCAAATTCTTTCCAGGAAAGCGGTGAGCAGGAGAACGCATCACTTCCTTTTGTCCTTTTTCTCATTAGAACAATTGAGGGCAGCGGTGTAAGTCTGACGTGTAGGTTTGTTTGAGACAAGGACAAGTATCAGGCTAAAGCAGGTTGAGTCGATAGTATAGATGCAAATTACACAATTTGGGTTGGTTGTGACTTGTGAAGTCTTACTCAAGCCTAATCTGACATAGTGGAGAATAAATAACTTAAATACCATAGGATGAAAAAATTATCAACAAATACTCATTTACAAGTCTTTTAACCCTTGATTTTGATGAATACACCGGATGTTTGGTTCTAGTTATTGATCAAGTTCCTTGTTATTAATGTTGATTGCAATGTTGATTGAGAATAAGCAAGAGATTATTAAAGTAACAGGAAAATGACATAGATATGAAAAAGAAGAGTCACAAAATTCCTCTCGATAAAATTTAGGATTTTGGTGATGTGCATGATTTGATACTGCAAAGCTCATCGAAAAGGAGTAGTTCAACAATGTCATAGAAAGCGCTTGGCGCCTAAGTGGTTGCCTAGCCGGGGCCTAGGCGGATTCCATATTTTTCATTTAACTGGAGGTGAAGGATATTTTGATAAAGGCTGAGGAGGTGATAGAATTCGGTGGAGGAGACAAGGGAGGTTAGAGTACGGGGACGTCGGGGAGGCATCATCAGAGGAAATCAGACCACGACCAAAGGTTTGCAGTCCGCATGACAGCCCATGCTCCCCTAGGTACTCCCAAGACCAAGGCGGGCAGCCAAAGTACTGCTTGAGCCAAAGTACCGCCTTTGAAAACTATGGAATAATTATTGTGGTGTTATCGGGGATAGTCGGCCAATGTTGCGAGATCCATCAAGATTCAATGGAATTGTGGGGACCTGCTGGAGTTATTGAGGTAGAGAGAGAAAGTACGGCAAATGATTGCAAAAAATGTATGACTTCATGTTAAGAAGGATATGCTACCTAAGTGTTACTGGATTCACAAAAGAGTGTAGCATTAGATGTACTGCTAAGGTTTGTTAAACAGGAGAGAGTTCACTGAGATGTGGAAAATCAAGTGAGATCAGTGTTATTGTCTTGCTGGAATAGTGAAAGGTGCTGAAAATCTAGAGGATGCCTAAATGGTACTGTTGATATCGAAGTTGAGCAAAATCTCAATGCAAGAGTTTGGAAGTGAAATAGTTAGAGTAGAGTGGATGATCTTCTGTAATCGTTATTTCATATTAAAGGTTAATCATGTGCTAGTGGTCATCAAGTTTGGATAAATACCAACACCACATACAAATATATGTATATAGAGATGTTTTTAAGGAGTTCTTGATATTCCCAGGGTGTAACTAGCTTACTAATTGTGACCTACCCAAAGTTATGATATGAATTAAATTTGATAATCACCTATGCTTATCTTATTCTACTTATTTTGCGAGTTCTATAAGCAAAAAAGTCCATGTATTCTGAAAGCCATTTGCCTATGCATGCATCAGTTAGTTGCAAGTTTGAGAGAAGTTAAAGAGTGGGGGGCAAATTGGGTGACTGGGTAGCGAGGGTAAAGGGGTAACTACACCAGGAAGAGAGATGAAGTAGCAGCTTGGCCCGCAAAGGGT